TTGGCCCAGGATCAGACATTGTTTCGTTCTGCTGTGCATGGGGTCGCTATGAGTCGGTTCTGACTCGATGGCACCTGACAACAACAACAAAATGTACATGTGAAAGTTGGACAGTCAGTCAATAAGGATTACTGTAGAAGAATTGATACATTTGAGTTATGGTATTGGAGAAGAATATTGAAAGTACTGCTAGAAGAACAAACAAATCTGTGTTGAAGAAGTATAACCAGAATGTTCCTTAGAAGCCAGGATGGCCAGACATTCTCTCTCATATTTCAGACATGTTATCAGGAAGGATCAGTCTCTAGAGAAGGCCATCATGCTTGGTAAAGTGGAGAGCCAGGTAAAAGAGGAAGACCCCAACAAGATGGACTGGCACAATGGCAGCAGCAAAGGGCTCAAGTGTAACAACAATTGTGAGGATGGCACAGAACCAGGTAGTGTTTTATACTGTTGTGCATAGGCTTGTTATGAGTTGCAACGAATTCAAACCAATAAGAAGTGTTTGAATTCTTATTAGTAGAGGTTTGTACAGAAGAGAAAGTGTCAGATTCTTCTTCTGGGAGTGTTGGGTGGTCTTCTCAGAGTGCTGCTTTGTGTAGGTCTTGAAGGATGATACGGAGTTTGAGAAATAAAGAAGTAGGGAATGAAAATGTAGGGAAAGTTTCACCATGTATGTAAGTCTGTCTTAAGTGGACATATCTCAGCCAGTGCAGAACCAAAAGTCTGTGATGAATTGTTGAGCAATTCTGGTCATACCCACTAGGAGTACAATTACTTCTTGTCTTCCTGTACTCATCAGGGGTAGCTGTGTCTGTTGTCCCTGCTTCAGGTGACCTGGACACTCAGTGATTCTGATTCTGGTCTGTCAGCATAAATGCCGACCTTGGTGAGGTTCAGTGCGTTCTGTTATTTTATAACAGAGGGCTGTTAAACCTACTTCATCATGTTATGTGATTAGACAATGTTCAAGGAAAATGTCTTAAAACGAAAATTGATTAGAGCAAAGTTGCTGACTAATTCCTGTTTTTAATTCAGCTGCTTGGAGGGTGCAGATTGGGACCAGAGCTCAGTAGTGTGAACAGTGTTACTGAGCCCCTTCCTTTGCTATGTGTCACTCACTCGGCGCAGTTGTTGCTAACCGCCTTTGAGGTGGTTCTGATTCATGGCCACTCTGTGATTCAAACCAACCTTGTGATTCAAACTGACCTGTGATTCAAACCAACCCTGTAGTACAGTGCTTTATACTATAACATATCTATAGAACATATATATACATATATGTTCTATAGATATGTTATAGTATAGATAGATAGATAGATAGATAGATAGATAGATAGATAGATAGATAGATAGATAGATCTTTTGTTGTTGTTAAGTATCATGGAGTCAGTTCTGACTCATAGTTCAAAGTGAGTTTGAACTGCCACCTTACGGTTCAAACTGACCTTGCTGTCCAATGCTTATCCTGCAGCACCACACCATTGGTAACATAGAATGTGGTGCTTTTTATAAAGACAAAAAAAAAGAAGTTTAGTTTAAAAATGAAACTATAATGGTGGCTATTTAAGATCACTATAAAAATGTAGTGTTTGAGGCTGGATAAGTGTGTCTCACGAGGGACATTATAAATCACTGACTTAAATAATACCAGGTAATTGGGAAGGATTAAAACTAATTCCATTATTTTAAGAAGAAGGAAGTAGGGTTTTAGCAATTAGAATCGTAACAAAACACTGGGACAAATATTAATAGAAATATTTAATTATTTATGGAGTAAAAATCATATGAATATTGTGAGGCTTTTATATATCTTAAACATACCAGACAACATAATTACTTTTCCTAGACATTACTAGATAAGTAGAGGAAGTCTGGAGAATAAATCTAATCTACCCTTATTTTAGCAGAGTACTTGATAGTTCAATTTTACTTAAAAATGAGGTTGCCTTGGATGTTTGCAAGGCTTGGTTTATTAAGCTGCATGAAATACAGTAGCATAGACAGCCTAGACCCACAATTACACTGGCAATTTTAGACAATGACTTTTGGAGATGAAACTGACCAGCGCTACTGGCCATAAGGTCAGTAGTTCGACTCACTGCAGGAGAAAGATAAGGCTTTCTGTTCCTGTAAAGATTTACAGCCTTAGAAACACTATGCAGGATCATTATGAGTCTGAACTGACTCCACGGCACATCACCACCACCACCACCACCACCTGTGCTGTGGGAACCCTGGTAACATAGTGGATTATGATCCCTGATGGAGTGGGGGAGGAGCATTCGGTGCTAACTGAAAGGTCGGTGGTTAGAACCTACTGGCTGCTCCATGGAAGACATGACTGTTTCCATAGTGATATAGAGCCTCAGGAATTCTACAGGGCAGTTGGACTCTGTCCTACTGGGTCACTACGAGTCAGAATTGACTCAACAGGTACAAATCCTGCGTGTGTGAGTGTCAGCATGTGCATGAATGCGTGTGTTCAGAAAAGAAGTCAATGTTAATTTTTTTACTCAAAAGAATAATTAATCCTTACTTTATTGAAAAGGGAAATCTGCTGCCTAAAAAACAAAATTGAAGTATCCTGATGTGACAGTGCAGGGTAAGCACTGGACAGCTAAGCTCAAGGTTGGTGATTCACACCCACCAGCCACTCCTTGGAAATCCTATACAGGATCACTATGAGTCGTAACTGACTCAACAGCTCTTAACAAGAGCAGCAACTTTAAAAATGATTTTTAAGTAATGGCAGTAACCATATTGGTCAGAAGGCATTAAAGCAAACATTTAAGTAGAGAAAATTGGGGGAAGAAAGATATCACTAAAGGTTCTACACTGGGAGAAATGTATTTTTAAGTTTCATTTCTATTGCATACATTCATTTTTCCTAGAAACTTTTGTCTTTTCTACCGGTGTTTATTTCATATAAAAACAGTAAGTATTGCATAGGATACCTGTAGTAAAAAGAATCATGGTTCTTCATCATCTTAATTTTGGAGTAATGCATTACTATTTAAAGGTTTTTAGATACTTGGAAGTGAAAGTTCATTTTACATTGTGATTTTTATTTTAACTGGCATTTAGATGAAGCTGGATTTAAAAACTATATATACTATATAGGAAAGCCTGAGCTGTTTGTTAATTCTGTATATGTTATTTTTCAGAAAGAATTCTTTGTAGAACTCAGCTTAAATACGGGACAACTGGGTATAGATGATTCTACACAAGTGCCTCCCGGTTAGTATTTATTTCAAATGGCTTATGATTAATGATAAAGTAAGTTTAAGTGTTCTCTTTCCATTTCCAAATAAATTTTGTATCTTTTTTATATCTGAAAATTACCTATGGTTTTTGTCTCTTCTTTCATTAATATCAGTGATGTAATGGAATCCTGTATGTTGTAATTGTCAGAGTTCAGCTAGGTTTTCTGTCTTTTATTTGAAGGTCTTTGAAATAACTTTCAGAGTTATTGCTGTTGTTATGTGCCGTGGAGTCAGTTCCGACTCATAGCGACCCTGTACAGGGTTTCCGAGACTGTAAATCTTTACAGGAGCAGAAAGCCTCATCTTTCTCATGTGGAACAATTGGTAGTTTTGAACTGTTGACCCTGAGGTTAGCAGCCCAATTTGTAACCAGTACGCTATCAGAGTTATTAGGCATGCAAAAATCATTTTGTTGACAACATATTCATTGGCAACACACATGTTTCCCCTGACTGGCCATCACTAAGGCCTGGTGATGCAGTGGTTTAAGCACTGGGCTGTGAACTGCAAAGTCAGTGGTTTAAATCCTCTAGCCACTCTATGAGAGAAAGATGAGGCTATCAGCTCTCATAAAGATGTCCGGTCTTGGAAACTCTTAGGAGCAGTTTTAACTGTCCTGTGGGGCCATGTGAGTTGGCAGTGGATGTTTTGGTTTGGCCTTCACTATCTGATTTTACCATCTCTGTACTTCATACCCAACTCAAGGGCACCTAACAAGTCACAAGTCAGGTGACCACTGTCATCAATCTCAAGTAAATTTATGTTTCAAAATTAGTCTCATTTCCTGGTATGGCGCTGTGGGTTAATGCACTGGACTACAAACTTGGTTTGAACTGCAAGGTCAGTGGTTCAAGCCAACCAGCTGCTCCTTGGAAACCCTGTACAGGGTCGGTATGGGTCAGAACCTACTCGATAGCAATTAACAACAACAGACCTTAGTGAGCCAGATAATATCCAAGACTTTTCTTTCTTTTCTTCTGGATAAATACCACATACCATTAATAAAAGACAGATTGATATATATCTATAATAAAAAGGAAGTAAAAATTGAATTAGAATATGGGAGACCTAAAAAAGGGGTAGGGAAATGTTTCTAGTCTTCTCTCTACAATTGACTAACTGCGTGACATAGACAAGTAACTTTACACATCTGGGTCTGTTTCTTCCTCTATAACTTAAGGGAGATGTTGTTGTTAGGTGCCATTAAATTGATACTGACTCATAGCGACCGTATGCATAACAGAATGAAACACTGCCTGGTCTTGGGTCAACCTCACAATCTTTGCTACGCCTGAGCCCATCTCTCCTACAACTGTGCCAATCCATCTCATTGGGGGTCTTCCTCTTTTTCTCTGACCTCCCATTTTACCAAACATAATACCCTTCTCCAGGGACTGGTCCCTTCTGACAATATGCCCTTAAGTATGAGAGATGAAGTCTGGCCATCGTAGCTTCCAAGGAGCACTCTGGCTGCTCTTCTTCCAACACAAATCTGTTTGTTTTTGGCAGTCCCTGGTACTTTCAATACTCTCCTCCAATACCATTGCTCAAATGCATCAATACTTCTGCGGTCTTCCTTATTCACTGCCCAGCTTTCGCATGCATATGAGGTGATTGAAAATATCATTGCTTGGGTCAGGTGCACCTTAGTCCTCAAGCTGACTTCTTTGCTCTTGAACACTCACTTTAAAGAGATTGTGTTCAGCAGATTTGCCTAATGCAAAACGTCATTTGAACCCTGGTGAAGACCTGGTTGGCCAGCAGTGTGGCAAGACCTGGGGACTCTTGGACCCAGAGTCAGGGACATAGCTACAGAGAACTAGCGTGGAGAGTGAGAGAGTGAAGCATCCAGCTGATAAGAAGAGAGGGCATATGCACAAGAACACCCACACTTGCAGATAATACCCATTTGACCTGGCTTCAATGACTGGATGATCAGAGCTCAACCAAAAGAAGAAAGAAGAGGAAAAAAAGAGTAATCTGATACAATTTGATGAACTTGACCTACACGTATGGATGCAGTAGCTCAAAAGAGGGAACAAATTCTTACAGCAAGGATCAGTCCCACCCCCTCCATACACAGAATAGACAGGGATGAGCAACTTGGACATTGGCTACCCACAATGGAGGGGTGGGGGGCGGCACTTCAAAGGCAAGAAGTGACTGGCTTACAAGCTTTCAGAGGGAACCTAGATCCAGAGGGCGTGGAAGAAGGTAGAATCTCCACTGAATAGTACCCAATCTGTCTAGGTGGGGCTGATGAAAGGAAATGCGGATAGGTCTCTTGTGATACAATAGTGAATAATTGTTATCAGGACTGATTGTGAGTGTTGGAAATGTAAAGGTAGACATTTTGTATCAAGGAGGGGAGTGATTAACTTTTCAGCCTGGGAGTGGAGGTCCCTGGGACCATCAAGGGAGAAGAGCGGAGAGCGGGACCCTACCCAGAGAAGCAGTGACACCAGAGATGGAGACGATGACGTGGAGAGAGGGAGCGGCTGGGGACTTTAGACCCAGAAAGGGAGAAGGGCTGTGTGCTGATGACCGGGGTGGGGGTGGGAGGCAGGCTTGCAGGGTATACCCTGTGGTTTGTTGATGCATGGGGGGGACTGTAACCATGGCAATGAAACGATATATGATAGGATGAATGTAAAACTAGTATTCTCCCATGTAAACTATCATATAATTCACAATTTTAAAAAAAAGTCGTTTGATTTCTTGACTGCTGCTTCCATGAGTGTTGATGGTTGATCCAAGCAAACTTTGACAACTTCATTGTTTTCTCTATTTATATGTTTATTGGTCCAATAGTAATGACTTTTGCTTTCTTTACATTGACATGGAAGCCATACCGAAAGGAGCTGGCAATATATTATTAATAATAGTTAACAATATTAATAACACTTATTGATCACATGTTATGTGATGCATGCTCACATGTTAACTTCTGAGAACTCTTGAGAAATACATATTATTACCATTTTGTAAACCTGTATTAATTATCAATGGCAAATAACACTATCATACTTCATATGTTGTTATTTGACCTGGAGTCAATTTCACTTTGTGGTGACCCCACATGTATACAGTGGTGGTGGTGGCTGTGTGTCATGGAGTCGGTTCAGACTCATAGTGGCCCTGTACAGGGTTTCCAAGGCTATAAATCTTCACAGGAGCAGAAAACCTCATCCTTCTCCCACGGGACAACTGGTAGTTTTGAACTGCTGACCTTGAGGTTAGCAACCCGACTCATAACCACTATGCTACCAGAGCACCTTATGTATACAGTAGAACTACTCTATAGGGTTTTCAAGACTGTGACCTTTCAGAAACACATTGTCATGCCTGTGTTTAGAGGCACCTCTGCATGGGTTTGGACCACCAACTTCTCAGCTAATAGTCGAGTACTTAACTGTTTGTGCCACCCATTTTGTTGTTGTTGTTAAGTGCTGTCGAGTTGGTTCTGACTCATAGTTACCCTAGATAGCGTTTCCAAGGGGCAGCTGGTGGGTTCAAAATGCTGACCTGTGGCTCACAGCCCAGTGCTGATCCCACAGCGCCACACCAGGAGCCCACCCATAGACTTCTATACTGCAAACAGAAAAGTACATAGATCATACTAGTGCAACTCAATGAAGTTTTACAAATTGAAAGTACCTATTGGTGCAAATGATTAATGCACTTGGCTGCTAACCAAAAGGCTAACCAAGAGGCACCTTAGAAGAAAGGCCTGCTGATTTATTTGTGAAAAACCAGTTATTGAGAACTTTGTAGTACAGATTTACCATGACATACATAGGGTTGTCATGAGTCAGTATCGAGTCAAAAACAGCTGGTTTGTTATTAAAGTACCACCCAGATCAACAAAGGGGAGTTGTTGCTGTCATACCCTCTTTGAATCTGTAAACCCCATTTTAAAGATATTCACTGAGTTCTAACAACGTAAGTTAGTTTTGCCTTCTTGAGCTATATATGTGTGTGTTCTGATAAGCATATATCCATATATGTTTAACCAGTTCTTGAACTTCATATGAAGAACAGAAGCATATAATGTGTACTGTTTGGTATCCAATTTCTTTTGCTCAGTATGATGTCTGTGAGATTCAGTCATGTTGTATGTATTAATGTATCATTTTCTTGCCTTACAGTGGCCCACTGTAATGAATATGCAGACCCATTCTACTGCTGATTTGCATTAGGGAAAATTTCAAATATTGGGCTATTACAAATAAGGTGGTGTTTTATTGACTACATGAAGATATTTGACTGTGTGGATCTTAACAAGTTACAGATTACCCTGCCAAGAATGGGAATATTCCAGAACTCTTATTGTGCTCGTGCAGAACTTATACACAGACCAGAAGGCAATTGTTCAAACAGAACAAGGGCACGCTGCTTGGCTCAGCATCAGGAAAGGTGGGCAGCAGGGTAGTACCTGTGACCAGATTTACTCAATCTGTATACGGAGCAAATAATCTGAGACTATAGACTATGCGAAGCAGAATGTGGTCTAAGGAATGGAGGAAGACTCCTTAATAACCTGTGATGTGCAAATGAGACAACCTTGCTTGCTGGAAGCCAACAAGACTTGAAGCACTAACTGATGAAGATCAAAGACCACAGCTGTCAACATGGATTACAAGCAACCCAAAACAAAAGTTCTCACAAATAGACCAAAAAACAACATCGTGATAAACAGAGATTAAAGTTGTCAAGGATTTCGTTTGACTCAGATCTACAAGCTATAGAAGCAGCAGTCAGGAAATCAAATGATGTTTTGCCCTGGGCAAATCTGCAACAAAAGTCTTCTTTTAAATGTTAAAAAACAGAGATATCACTTTGATAGCTAAAGTTCACCTGACACAAACCATAATAATCCCAATTGCCTCATGAATAAAGAAGACTGTAGACGAAGTGATGCATTTAAGTTTGGTATGGAGGAAAGTATTAAAAGTACCATGAACTGCCAAAAGA